GCTAACAATGGAAAGAAGAAGTTAAAAGTGCTTTGTTTGCAAGTAAAATTTTTTGTCAAAATCCCTTCATCTTAAATGTTTATGTTTCCACTAAATGATAGCAGGTCCACATCAAAGCTTTCATAAGACACAAAAAGAAGAGTCAGAAGAACTCATACTAACACACTGGAAGATAAAACTTGGATTTGACGCTCGTAGTATTTGTTTTTGCAAATGGTTCCAATTCAATGTTTATTTCCTATCACATTAAAGTATCTAGCTAAATTAATACATACACACTTTTCTAAGTTGCTATATTGTATACTACATATTTTCCTTTCCTCTAAAGAGCTTGGCATTTCACCTTTTGAATCCACTTGTTCCCAAAAACTCCACTCCATACTATTAAGCTATTTTAGAGTAATATATTTTATACAATTAAAATATCCACAAAAGAAAAACTGGCAACCTTTACTGACTAGCATTGCCAGAATGGTTGAACTGGGCTATAAATGCAAAGAAGTTTAGTCTGTTTTATGAAGACATGACTTTTAAGGTAAGTCTACATGCCTTAATCATTTTGGCTGACAAAGTGATAGAAGAACTCTGATTTCTCCAATTATAAGTTCAAAAGTCTAAAAAGGTCATGTGTAAAAGGCATAAAACATTAATCTCATCATTTTCTGTGCAGCTTGTTAAACTCCTAGAAGCTGTAATAGCAGAGACAAATTGAGCAACTTTCTGACCTTTCTCTGATAAAAACCTATACAGTTATTTAATGGAAACCTAAAAGGTTACCAATTATTTTTCTAAAAAGCTCATCTTTCTCAGACTGGGAACTTGATACTGCACTGTGAAATTAGCTCGTGGAAATGCTACATTTGAATGCCTTTAGTAAAGTTGCACAGCTGTAATGAATTCACTAATTTATTACCTGTTTTGGCTAGGAGAGGAGGAAGACTTGCGGGAAAACAACAAAAGGCAAGGGAGAGAGAACAACAGAGAAAGACAGGGAGATAAAATAAGCAACCAAATATAAGAGCACGTATGCAAGCATTCAAGTTGGACACACTAAAACCCTGAAAAAATAATAACAATCACAATTTGTTGATCACTATGATCTAGTATCAGGCTTCAGGATATCTCCTAAAATCAGCAGCAGTACAGGCAAATGACTGCACTTTCCACAATGCTACACATTTCAAGCAAGAGAGATTTCCAGTTTTGGTGTTAAATAACTTAACACTCAAATGTTTACATCCTTTCCTGACCCAAAGTCTAAAGTTTAACCAATATCTTGGTAATCTTGGAATTAATATATTTCTTAATTGACTAATGTTCCAGAGATGTGACCTTTTTTAATTTTTTGCTTTGAATGGTACAAAAAACGATGGAGAAAGTTGGTTTTGTCAAACAGATTTCACTTAAAAAAGCCACTTACTTGGTTCATTATTTCTGTATATATTACACAGCAGAAAAAAAAAACCCACACATGTAAGTATTTATCTGGAACTATACAATGGTCTTAAACATTAAATTTGGAACTGATTTTCTGTAGTTAAGTAATATTTATATTTTATTGAATATTCATATATTTCAGGAGAACTCCATCAATTTTGATATTAATGTGAAAATTATAGAAATATGTTTTGCTAACAGTCAGTTGTTACAAACAGTATGACTAAATCTATATTTAGAAACTGTGCTATTTTCAGAAGTTCCTGTAAATGTACTTTCATGTGAGCAAGCCTGACAGACCAAAAATTCTGATGATCAAATCAAGCAGACGGACCAATGTTTTTGATCATACACCTTTTGAACAAAGCCTGTTAAGATTTCCACACATTGACACAGTAAAATACACGAATGAATGATGAGTTGTTGGAGGTTTCAAAACAAAATCAAAGACAAAACTATCAAGGTGGGTCAGAAAGCTATTTGTAATTGTTCATGTGTGTGAAAATACTGATGGAGCACAGTGACTCTTCTCTGTGAAAGGATAATCTTTTTCACCAAAGCAAGTGAATCCACTTCAAATAATCTCCACCCAACTGCAAAATTCAAATATGAAGATAAGCTAAATACTGCTAAAATTTCTGAAGACCCGAAAATTTGTATATTCTAGCTACACAATTTCAGACTCTGGAATTTACTGAATACTCTTTTCCCCTCTGTGTTTTGCATATGCAAACAATTTCCAATGTTGTAGATCTGTTTTAGAAAAGAAATGTATTTAACAGTATTTTCATAAGTGAAATTTAAATGAACAATATTTTCAGGATGAAAACTAGAGCTGTTATGAAGTGGATCCAATCTTTTTATCAATATCAACAATTTGGTATTCCATGCATGACGTTTATTAGAGAAATTACTATTTCTGTACAAACCGTGAACATGCACTCATTTTGAGCAAATGGAAGGTACGAAGCAAGTCATTTATAAAGCACATCAGAGCCTTTTCCTTTAATTCTCCTGATTAGCTTCTTGGAGTATCAAATATTCATAGAATTACATGATATCTTTTTCTACATACCAAGTAAACACTGTGCTTAAGAAATAAAAATGAAGACTTATACTTTTTCTTAGGGCTTCACACCTCCTCCAATGCTGTAAAAAATGTATTCCTAAAAAAGCATTTCATTTCCAAAACATAAAAAACAATTATATATCTCAAAAAAACATTTATTTCAACAAATTACATTTCTAATGCAGAACCTTAAAGAGTGTCCCCGTATACTTCCATATCAACATATCATCACCCCCACGTAATCATATAATCCTTCTAAAAATAAAATAATTTCACCTCAGTATTACCATGGTCATGGGACTCAATAAATTCCTCATCCCTTACATTTTATCCCTGTTTTTGAATTAGTAAACGCGTGTATATCAACTGTGCATGTCTGGCACTGATGACATAAACCTGTCAGCTACAGGGAAGCTCCGTGAAGTAATCTGTCATCACTTTTCCTGAAATAAACTATAGCTTTCAGGGACTTCTAGAAAGCGGATACTGACAGAAGTTATTGTGACAACAGGATGAACAACCTGCATTACAGCAGCAGATGCTTTTTGTGTTTCCACTGCCTCAGGACCCCCCATCATGCCAGTATGAAATTCACCTTTCCATCCTCAAGCACGCAATTCACCTGTGGATTCACCTAGCAGCTAATGGGTTGCACTAAAAGTAAAATACCTTGGCTACTCTCAAATCGTGCTTTGGAATTTAAATAAAAATAAGAAAGTGTTTTAAAGATGCCTTTTCACTTCACAAATTGCTTTTGTTCTCACTCACCCCCAGACCAGCAGTAAAGTTTGGGTTATGTTATTTTTGTATTTATATGTCAAGTCTTTCCATAAGTCTCTACCTAGAAACAATTACGTTCTTTGTAGGTCTGCAGCCAAAAGAAAACTTGATACATGTATCACATATATACATATGATCTGTATAGCCTATTTATTAGTCATCTATCAAAACACTGACAAGCAGGAACTCAAGACTATATCCCTGTCTTTGTAAGCAGGACATGTTTTAAAGTAATTTTGAAGCAAGATAGCTAGAAGTAATTTGTTTACTTTGCAAAGTGTTTTATGCTATATAATACTTTTTCCATGCAAATCAATGACTACTCTGTCTGCAATGACCTTACATAATCATTGTAGCTTTTTATTTTCAAAAAATGGAGACAGCATTCCACTTCAGTTCTCTTGCCACCAAGGGTCAAGAATTTCTGTTCAGATCTCACATTGTTGATATACATGCTCATTAGGGATAAAATGTTTTGGTGCCACAGTCACAAAAATCCAGTGAGGATCATAATTTTTTCTTTTTTTTTCCAGTCAGCTTTACTAACTGTTGTTATCCACATATGTATATTTGATCCATTTGCATATAGAATCATCTATGTACCCAATGAAGTTTAAAAGGCAAAATCTCTACTTAAGCAATATTTGCAAGTGTTACTTTTTACCATGATAAGATGCCTCTTAAAGCTATGTTTCAACAGTTATTCAAATTATTTTTACCAAAGGAAGCCAGAATTCACTCTGGAAAAAAATGGGGTTTGATAGTACCAGAAAGAAGATTGAAAATAGTTGTATGCCCCTGTATGTTGTACAAACAAGAGACAAACTAATGTCATATAATAGCATTATTTATATTCTGTTGGCATGAGAATTCTGTAAAAGCATAAACTGGTATGTATTGATACCCATAGCTCTTAATAAAGCCAAAGAATTTGGAAAGAAAATTTAGTCTTTGGTATACCAGAAAGAGATATACAACTATGGGCAGGGCATGTTTAATCAATTACATACAAACTCAACCTTAAAAAAAAAAAAAAAACACAGTTGAGATTACACTTGCTCTTATTAAAATTTCCATTGAATATCTAACTTATTCCTTCACTGTTGCCTAAGCTAAGAAGCTGCAGAGACTGTATCTGCACTGGAGGCAAGGCAGCCCACTTTTCTGGTTGGCAGAACATGCTTCCCAGGCAAAATGGTTTACTTTAAATAGCTTTTGTGAGTACAAAGGATGCTGAAGTGCTAACCTTTTCTGCCTTCAGCTGAGGCAATCTGCTGCTATTGCAGACATTGACACTGTTTGTTTCAATACCTCTATGGCATGCCCATTCTGTCACCTGAATACCAAACACTGTTTTCATGAGGAATGTGAAGTTCTGCAGAACCACTGATCAAATGTACTTTGACTATTTTTTACTTTTTTAATGCTGCAAGAAGTAAGTTTCAAAGCAGAAAAGCAAAAAGGGCCCTAACAGTTTTGTGTGCTTCTTAAAAAATCTTTACCATTTATTCCCCTCTAATCAAAATGCTTACATTTTTGCCTATAACTACAGGCTCTTCTGAATTTTGAACAAGAACAGGCAAGAATCTTCCCCCAAAAATATTTTTTCATGTCATATTTATTTCTCTTTGATTTTGTTTTAAATGAAGATTCTATCATTAATCATATAAATCACAAAAGAAGGTAATCGGCACGTAGAAAATGAATGACATACCTTATACTGGATAAGTAGACCATAAACCAAAATGTTTTTCTTTTTCACTTCCTTTGCAAATTTCTTGATCCTAATTAGTTCTTCTATCCCAATGCTGAAAGAAATGTTTTCTGAAATATTCAAGTGCACCTGCAAAGGAACAAATAAAAAAAAAAAATATTCCACTTTTTTCATAGTGCATTATTTTAAACTGCCAGTTTTTAGTACCTCATTTTTATGTGTTAAGCACACATAAAAATGCAGGCTAAGAAATGTTTTTCTTAGCTAGCTTATATTACTATTGAATCCCACTACTTATATATTTAGTGACATGAAAACTCTTTCTTTTCAAAACACAGTGAAACCAATATGCCAGAACACATCAGAACACAATGTTCTAACTGCATATTACAAATATTTAATTAAATTAGAAAACAACATTCTTTTCTAAGATCTAATCTTTCACAGATTTTTTTTTTTTTTTTTTACTATCAGGATACTGGAGAAATACAGATGTTCTTCTTAAGCATCTTAAAGGTTTTCAAAATGAAACTGCATTCTTTAAAGGTCTGTTTTGAATTTACTACCTTTTCAGTATAGCACATTAGGTTGTCTAAATCAGATTAACTTCAAGATAACACTTAAATTTTAAAAAGCAGAAACTACTTCAAAAGAAGGTAGGGATATGACTATCCTGAGCTCTTTGGCAGGGAAAGGCAGGTCTCGGATCCAGCAGGGATGATGCACAAACATGGTGGGTCTTGCAGGACCTGAACTGGTATCAGCTAGCTCACCCCTTTCCCAAGGCTTATGTGTTCCACTGTTTAATCAATTTATAAAGTTTCTCTTAACTGTAGAAATCAAAATTTAGGATGATGATTTGAACATACAAGATTTCAGCATCTATTAACAGCAGAAATACCCTTCTCCTTTACAGAAAGAGAAGTATTTTTCTGGCTGTGCAATTCCATTGATATTAAACTTATCTGTAAGGACTACAGAGTAGTATAGAGGTACGGAGTATAAAGGTCCCTATCTGTAAGTATAGAGGTCCCTATCTGTAAGAACTACAGAGTAGTGTATACTACGGAGTATAGAGGTAGCCTCAGAGATCCATGCTTGTGAAAATCATTTCAATTTCCCTTTGTACCTTATATTCAGTTTATCCTGACAAATATTAGGTTTTTACTCATTTTCCCTTGCAACACTTTAAAAAGGTGTTTGCTGTCTAAGTGCATATTCACCAGGAGCAAAGTTACTGTCTTCTACTACACAGGCAGATATTAATTTTCAAATACTTATTACTTTGTTATTTTTTACCCAAAACAAGGCTAGAGTACTGCTCATTTACAGCTATTTACAAGAAATTTTAAAACCTATTATTTTGAGAGAACATGACCTAACATCTATTTACCATTAACCTGTTCCACAGCTTTGAAAAGAGATTTTTCTCAAATTTACTTTTGTACTGAAATGCAAATAATGTCAACTACAGAGCTGAAGTACTAGCATTCCTTTCTTTCTAACCCTAAATAATAACAACAAAATAAAAGTAATGTCCATTTATAACATCTACAAATGTGAACATATATTACTCAGAAAAGTAATGTCAGTTTAAGAATATGATTCTTCTGGTTATAGGAGAGTTGGAGAGGATACTGGTTTGATGCAAACAAATAATTGCATGAGGTTTACCTCCGTTCTTCCTATTTTGCCTGTAACATTAATCTTCCCTTTTCTGCTATGTCCAGATACAATACTCCAATTCCTGCTTCAGCTTACAGATGCCACAAAAAAATCCAGTCAGGCACCAAGATAAAGGATAGACTTTGAAATCTGTGACAATTTATAGGCAGGAATATGGACAGAAATCAGCATGCCCAGTGCAAGCTCATACTTTTATTGGGATAATTCTACTCAGACTGGTTAAACAGACAATCTGGTACAATACTAACACCTGACATTTTTGCAACTAAAGCAGCTGAATATGGGAAAGAAAAATAAACCTGATTCTCTCAATTATCAGATTGTTACAAAAAAGTTACATGTGTCCTGAAATCAAAGAATAGACAAGAACTTTCTAATTACACAGAAGTCTACATTAGACTGTACCTAAGTATGAGGTAAGAATGGAAGCACTTAGCTGCTCTCCTCATTTACTCTTTCAATTCTTCACTACCAGGAACAATTTTACTTTTGAAATTAGAAAAGAATAATGTTTCCCATACAGCTAGTACCTAAAACCTATGTATTTAAATGTAATCATATTGCTTAAAATTCCGAGTCACATTTGCCTGAGAAATATTAATGTGCCCTTTTACATCAAAAGAAAGTGTCTTACAGGACTTTTCACTAACAATGTATTTGGGTTTTATGTTAAAGGAAGGATATAGTGAAGAATAAAGCTGAGGAGAATCCCACTCATAAGTCTTAGTGAAGAGGACACCCAACACTGAATTTAATTAAAGACTGCTGCAGGAAGTTTCTATCCCCCAGCCATGCCATCTGTAATGAGTTTTAGGGATCAGAAGTTTAAAGGACCTAAATAGTTTCTGGTGATTAATATGAGACAACGATTTGTTTAGTTAATTCTTTAGTCATTTAAAACATACTTTCCCATCCTCCTAAATTTTTGTTCTTGTATTCTAAAAAATAGTGTGGTAACTCCATAAAATTTGAAAGTGTAGCATAAAATGCCTTTTTACAGTAGGGGTACTTTATTTTTTAAAGATACTTTAAACAAAATATGTGTATCCGTGCTTTAAGTGTTAGCAACTGCTTCCACCTAGTTATGAGACTTTTCTCCCATTGTCTAGTTTTGTGGAATTTCAAATAGCTGTCAGGAACAACTGGTGGATCTGGAGTAAAGAGATTAAATGTATTATTTTCTCCTGAGGCTATTTTAAAAGGTGTCCACCTAAATAATTTGTGAATGCTGCAGGCTGTTCAAGCAAGTACACTTTCATTAAAACTGGTGCTGGATCCTAGAATGACTTCAAGATCTAGTATCTTAGGGGCAAAACCTGAGTTTCATGGTGAGCTTGTGTAAGCATTGTCTGCATTCATACCTATTTCTCAGGAAACAGTAAGTAAAAAATATTTATTGCTACAATTATCAAAACAAATCTCTCACATTCCATGTGTCAAAACACTAAAAAAGCACTTAATTCAAAGTCCAAAGTGAAGATTAGCTATGAATTGGGCACAAAAAAATCCCCATGCTTTTAACACTGTAGTATTACCTAGTTGATTAACAATTCCAACTTTACCTGCACACCGCCAAATTTAACACAGACAGAAATGGGGTTTTATATTCTTGATGAAGGACTAATGAAAACATTCTCGGTCCAGAAAAGAGCATTCTACACATCCAGTGTGTAAATGGGCAACAGAATTGGAAGAGCGTCATTGCTCTGATTTTCAAAGGCAGAAATAATTTAGTAAATTGAAAATTTAGTAAAATGAAAGCTCTACCCTGAACTTCTCAGAAATAGGGTCAAGAAAAAAGACTGTCTAGAAATAAAGTGCTAAATACTGATGTTCATAGAATCACAGTAGCTCACTCCAAGACAACAGCATACATCAGGTAAGGCAATTACAAATTTAAAAAGTTAAAGTAATTGGTATTCATGATCTCATTTATTTGTTAGGTCAGTAATGAAATTTAATCACTCACATTTCAGATTAAGCCTAAAATTGAGAAGTAAATGCTCAGTTTTACCTCCACAGATCATTAGACTCTGCACTTCCAAAACTGTTTAGACTCCGTGTAAAATACCTATTTATTCCTTTTTTCAAGAGCTTCATATATGAAATTAAATTTAAAAATCACAACATATTGTGTTGTATCATTGCTGAAGTGTATAATAAACGTAATCCAGAGGCACACCCCTTCTGACATATGGAATTAATAACTCATTGCACCCAATACTTCTCATCCCTACCTATTAAGCCAGAAAACATAACTGAATTAATTTGATCTGGTTACGCTGCACAGAGACTTTCAAATCTACTCAGATTTTCTCCTTTTTAACAGTCTGAGTAAAATAAGTCATGTATACCTTCAGTTGCTCATTGACATGAACTGTTAAATTATTCTGGCAGCAATTTTCAAATCATCAGAATTTCAACCAAAAATACACTTTAAAACTTTTGCCACATACCAGAATAGATCTTTCAGTCTTACATCATCTCAATAAGTAATGTATCTATTGAAGGTACACTGCAAATTACTTCAAAGTTAGTTTTTAATTGGACTAGAGAAGCAACAACAACTTTAAAACTTTGAAAAAAATCACACAGCATAGAAGAAAATAAAGCCACTTAATTCTGTTTCAACTGCACATTCAGAGTACAAAATTTGCAGCATCCCCAGCAGACATGGAGCACAACAGCAAAGTAGGAATTAACAGTTCAATATGACTAGCCACAATGAGTCTTCCACAGAAATATAATAAATTGTGAATTGCTAATATTGGTTTATTTCCTGACAGCATGCAGTATATTTGCTGAAGTGCAAACGATGCTCTTTACAGTCCAATTTACAATTCAAATTAACAATTTTATTCAGAGCTACTGGCAGTTTAAACCTAGTCTAACATTTAAAATATTTCATTAGTTGCTTTCTACAGTAACTTACACGAGTTACCTACCAAAATAAGGACAACTGGATATAAGAGAGGAATATTTGATTTTTCCAACTTATCCACTAGTTGCTGGGTTTCTTGAATGTCATACTTTTTATCCTAAATGAAAATACATGTTTAGAATTACTGAAAACATCAAACAATGATTTCATAAAAATGGAATTCAAAAATCTGTTATTTATCAAAAGAAGATACGTCACTCTTTTGGTTTTGGGGGGGTTACTTGGTTGGTTGGTTTTAATATATTTGTAACGCTTTTGTCTGGTAAAGTTATAGGTGTTTGAAAAAAATTGAGATTAATAATATTACCCTTAAGAAATATATATATAACCACCATAAGGGTCTTGATATGGTTCATCTAAAACTTCCCTGTTCCCATACAGGGACCCAAAACCAGATTGCATGGCATGCATGTGTCTGAAATGGGAAACACTAATTTAAATCACAGTAGCAATACAGAGGTAGATGACTACACATATGACATACCTCTTCTATGGACAAGTCACTTCAATACAGTATCTATGAAAGAAAATTTTAAACTACTTCCTGTTGCATTCCTCTTGTTCAAGAATTCATGGCTGGTTTAACAAACATATTGACAGCAGTGCAGAACCAGAAAAGAAAGAACGGACCAGTCAAGTTTGGGGCACATCAGAAACACCAAACATTGGAATGGATACACCAAGATGACAGAAATAGCAAACAACTTACGATTCAAATATGCTATTATTATTTACCATTACTAATGAGTTTAAAGTTCAAAACTAAAAGCATGCACCCTTACTACTTACATTTACGCAAACAAAATTGTAGTGCTGTCCCGAAAAGATATTTTGTAGATGGCTATCATTTTTGCTTAGAGACATTGATATAGCTTCAACCTGATAAGAAAAAAAAAAATTCCTATGTCACAAATTTGACTTCAGCCTTAGCTATCTGCTAAAGCTTCCACCATTACAGCAGAGTTTGTTCATTCAAATAATTCAAAACTGGCAATTATTATTTCCACTATGAGAATAAAAAATAGCTCAAGTTTTTAGGTGACTCAATGGTAAAGCATGGAGTCCAACACCCTGCAGTTTTCTGTAAGTTTTTGCTGAAGCATACTGCTGGGGGAGCCATTACAAAAACAGCCCAGAAAGGGCTAGCGCTGCTGCCTGGGCTAGGATGGATGTTCAACCGTTCCCAGAGCTGAAAACACTATTCATAGGATCAAGATGATCTAATGATTTTAGACCTCTTATTCTGAGAAAATCTCTATAATATTTAAATACATATAAATATTATGTCTTCATGCAACTGAAAATAAAATAAAGAAGTAGGTATGAGAGACCAGGTGTACAGGTATTCTAGGATTCTGCATTTTACAAGACTCATTTAGAATTTCTCCTGAAAATAATGTCCTCAATGAATACTTTAAAATACTCTCTTAATCACAGAATACTTATTTTGCAACCCTTAACGCTAGCTGAGAAATTATCTTATCCTCATTAAACTAAAAAGTTGATTCTACTACATTATCAGCTTCAGGATTGTCTTCTGTAAAACAGCAAACTGGGTAGTAGAAGGGGAATTTGTTCCCTAAGAGAAGATAATGCTTTGAAGCCAATAAAAAACCCCCTGGAAAATAAGGCCAAAAAAATCTTCCTGTTGCTTCTATTAAACAGGGAAACCCCACTGTTCCACTGCTCAAAAGAGCTTTATTTCTGCCCAGAAGACACATTATATATAGAAGCAAACAACACAAGCAATACATTGCTGTGTTCGCTCGAAACGTCACTTAATCCAGAATCCAACAAAAGCATCAAATACAACATTCAATAGGCTTTCCACTGTTATCTAAAGCTGTATTTGTTTATTTTTGTAATACTTGGGGAGCTAACTCAAGTGCAAGGAAAGGTGGTTTGAAATCCAGAAGTTGACACTTATGTACTGAAGATTTTAGAAACATTTTGGGCTGAAAATATGATAAAAGAGCTCCAAATAGTTGACATTTAATATTCTGAAGAGATTAAAAAAAAAAAAATTACAGAAGGCAAGAATTACTTAAAATACTTTAAAAATGCAATACTCCAGGGTTCTTCTGGCTTGAGCTTCTGCAGAAGTAAAACCAGGAAACCCCAGTACTTTTAAAACCTTGTACATACTTAGATGAACAGAAGCACACTGTATGCCAGTCTTTTCAGAAAGTAAATGAAACATTACTCAAGGGAAAAAGCCTACTTTTTTTTTTCCCCTTGAGATATTACAATACATGATGCTTAAGTATTCCTGAACATTTGAAAACTAATTGAGTGTATCAGAGTTCTAATTTAACTTGAACAATTTGATAAAGCAGTACACTGAGACTTCGTTTTACTGCCATATTATCCAGCAAAGATTAAATCTGATTTCTCTCTTGGAAAAGTAAGCACAGCTGCCCAACTAGAAGCTTCAACACATCATCAAATGACTATAATTAATTCTCATTCTATTTGGCATGTTAGAATTCTATGCAAAAGTATTTCTTTTAATGTAACTTAATATTAAACAAAGTTATCAGTTACTTGAGAGAGCAAAAATTACCTAAAAATACCACCTCAGTAAAAAATGTTTGTCACATAATGTTTCAGTGTTTAAATAGAAAACAATATATGGATTTGCTTAATCACTTCTGGTCATTGTAGCAATTGATATTCAGCTAGTCTAAAGAAGTAGAGATGTTAAGTTTTTATGAACATGAAGACAGGAATAATAAATATGTTTTCTTTAATGTTTTTCTACTTATCAGATGCCCTGTGATGAAGTTTCAACTTTATCTAATACCCACTTTCATAAAATCAAAAAATAATACCAGGGCATTGGGAATCTGTAAAAGTTAGTTAAATTATATCAGAATTTAAAATCACAGTTAATACCAATCCAGCAGAGGGACAATGCAATGATTAAGAAATTAGTGAATTTTGCTAATGAAACAATAGTTCATTTCCTAATTGAAAACAACCAAATATTCTGATAGACTGCTTGTGGATATTTATCCAGTCACAAATATAACACACAACTTCATCCAGCACCTTGATACTGAATAAGGAGAACAACATAATTTCCAGTCACAGAAGAAAACACCTTCAGCCTCCATTTAGGTTTGCTTGCTTCAAAAGAAAGGGCTAAGTAACAAATGTAAGGAAAGGCTCAAACTGATACTTTTCACCGTAAGATATTTTCTGCTATTCATTTATTAGTTATACAGTTTACAGTAACACTGATTAAAATACTTACTCTTAATGTAATTTGGAAGCAATAACTGTTGCCTTAATTTTTTTAATTTTTTTTTTTTTAGAAAAGCTTTTATTTTCATTTTCTTTATCTCATCAGTTCAATTTTTAGGTCTCTTCTGTTATCGGCATTATCATATTATTGGATAAATCTCTCTAACAAAATTTCTTTTGACTTCTTCTTTAAGGATGCATCTATAAATTAACAAATATCTTAACAGTAAATATGGCTGCTACTAAGATTTAGTGTCAAAACTACCTAAAACATTAAAATATTGGCCATAGTTTGCTTAAATTTCAGATAATATGTACTCTAGTGAATGATTTCCAATTAGTGTCTTATTTAGATCAATTACCCTCCAATCAGTCCTTTGAAAAGGTCCAGCTTTCAGTGTGGTACGTTTAACTTGCTTAAAATAATTATCACATTGTGGAGTCACATCTCTCTGTCACAAGGTTACTGTGCTTCACTTGAGAAATCATAGGCCAGTGGATATACTCTTTTTACAGTGCTTCAAATTTAGAAGTTCTGTATACTGATCATCTTAAAAATTAATTCTTGGAGATTTCTAAGGGTTCATAAAATGAATGACTAAGGATGTTTCAAGGACCAGTACAAGACAGTGATTTTGATGAAGTTCTTTGGCATGTGTCACTTTGCAGGAATGTTTTAAAAGAGCTGAAGAGAAATTTAATAATCATTATGAGGAAAGACAACATAGATCAAAGAAGACAACAACGGTGCTAGAAATCATCAACTAAACTGATTTAATAGAGCCATCAAAAAAATGTCCCTTATCAGTAGGAATCCCTTCATTTTATACCCTCGTTACCTTGTTTGTAGTCATTTTATGTGGGTTTCATTCAAATGTAGCATAGGTTCAGGTGCCTGACCAAGCCAACAATCAAATGGATTTGCAATGAAAATTTGGAAATGTAAATTTTAACCAGTTTATTGCCAGTCTGATTTGAGGTTTCTAAGCTTGGAGTCACAGTGTTGGCTGATGAAACATAATGCAATCTTTGACTTTTCTTACTGGCTTGGAAGTGTTTCTTATGGTATGATTAAAGTAGTTATATGCAAACATAATATATAGATAAATCAACACTTAAAGAAGTACTTTTTTTCTCATATGGGCAAGTGATGTCTTCCTAGTAATTGCAGGATAGTTTTAATGGAGAGAAAATAAGAAAAATAGCAATGGATATGGTATCAGTGAAATGAAAACATATTTCTGCAAGGAAAGATCTTACTTAGCTCTGGTAACGTTTTGCACCTCTAAATGTAGACATTTAATAGATACTAAGCATGATTTTCCACACTAAATACAATTTTTTCCAAACAGAAACTGTAAGTAAATATCAAAATGACATTTTTAGATATAAAATAGCAATACAGTTTGCTACAGAAGAACATCCTACTATTAACTAAGCACACAATGCAGAAGATAAACAGACATGAATAAAACCACAACAGAAGCAACATTATGCAAATCAGGAAACCTGTATTTTTGAACATTCTGCAGATAGCATTCCCTGTCTGTTTCTCTGGGTCAAAGAAAGATGGGATATCATCACATAAAATATAATTAAGAATCACCCCAAGATCAGTCAAGGTTTAAGCAATTAATTCCAAATGTTAATGACCATTGGGAAAATGAAAATACATGATAGTTCTATTAGTAGGAATAATGAAAAAGGAAAAGCTAGTTAAATGCCAGTAGAATATTCCATTAATATTCTACAGCAACGGCTTCATTGAGCATTCACTATGACTGAAATGTACTCCTATCTCTCTGCAAAAAGGCTGATTAATCTGACTTTGCATTCGCAGCTCTGCAGGAATACAACTTACTCTTTAATTGGTTCAGACTTTAATTCAGACTTCAAAGTAACAAAAGCATTTCCTCTGTAACATATTTGTAACAATTTGGGCTTACTGAATTCATAAAATCTAAAGAAAATGTCCTCTCTGTTGTCTGGATCCAATTTCTCCTCTAATCTAATATACCCATTTTAAGAGGATCTGTAAAACTTCCCTCCACAGCATAACTGGGCAGAAGATGATTCTTGCTTGGTTACTTCCACACCTGGTGTTAATCCCTTGTAATAAATACTACAGTGACACAGGAGATCTCAGTTTCTGTATTCACATTATTTAGAACATTTCTTATGAGTTGTGACAACCAGAAGCATTAAATTAATCCTACAATTTACAGCCATAGAGTTGTACTTACTTTTATTTGGCTTTTCAGAGATTCATGAAGGAGAAAACCTATTTGTGCAACAGCTTCCTTCGCATCGGTAATAACACAAACTTCTTGTGATAGGTTGTCTGTGATCAAGGAAAAAATCTTAGTACTTCATGCAAAGATAAATCAATCAAAATTACTAATCTGATAAACATTACCTTCAATCCATATACTGCTGTCTCGACAGAACCTTTCCAACAGCTGCAGACTTAAGAAAACTTATTTCATGGCACCGTTATTATAACTACATAATTTATATAACACACATCTCAAATATAAATTCATATTATATTTTATATGATTTTGTACAACATGAAAACATCACATAAGACCTGTCCCCAAAGCCCATTTAGATAAGGGACTTCTATGAAAAGGTATTTGTTCAGGTCCACATTACTGACACTGGATGACCACCAAGAACATAATTTTCTTAAAACTTTGTCCCGAGTTTCAGCGAGTGGTGGGGTTTTTTTGTAGCAGGGAAGGCGGCTATAGAGGTGGCCTCCTGTGAGAAGCTTCTTGAAGCTCCCCCAGCTCCAAGTCAGCTCCACCCCTGCACCGAAACTGAGCCAATCAGCTGCGCCTCTGCGATAACGTATTTAAGAAGGGACGTGGTGACGGGCAGTGGGACTTGTGAGGAGGAGTTGCGGCAGCTGCGTGAACACCAAGGTCAGTGGAGGAACGAAGGAAGAAAGGAGGGGGGAGGTCCCAGACCAGAGACCCCCCTGTATCCTGTGGTGAGATGGCAGGGTGGCCCCCCTGCCACCCATGGAGATCTACGGTGGAGCAGACATAGATTTATGGCCTGTGTTTCACCTGGATGATCAAGGTGCTGTGCCCGAAGAAGGCCGGGGTCTTGTGGGAAAAGGTAGCCCTGCTGCTGTAATTCAGTGCTGGGAGGATTGCAGCATGCAGGGGAGTCCCACGCCGGAGCAGCTCGGGAAGGGCTGCAGCCGTGGGAGGGAATCCAGTTGGAGAAAGTTGGTGATTCATGCTGAAGCAGTGTAAGGAAATGCTGCAGCCCGTGGGAGGGACTCATGTTGGAGAAAGTTGTGGAGGACTGCCTCCTGTGAGAGGGGGACCACGCTGGAGCAGGGGGAACAAGTTCCAGAAGCTTCCCCCACCGAAGATGGAAGAGGCAGCACCGACTGCACCCCCCCATTCCCTGCCCCTGCGCCACTGGGGGAGGAGGTAGAGATATCGGGAGCAGAGCTGAGCCCGGGAAGAAGGGAGGGGTGGGGGGAAGGTGTTCTCAAGATGTGGCAATGTTCCTCACTGTTGTACTCTGTTACGTGTTGTTAGTGTCTGTAATAAAGCTATGTACTTTTTTTCTTCCCCTAACAAGTCTGCCTTTTGCCTGTGACCGTAATAGGTGATCTGCCCCTCCCAGTCCTATCCTGAATCCCAAGCCTGGAGCATTTGTCCCTTCTCATCGTTGGAGGGGAGGGAGGAGTGAGCGGCTACGTGGTGTCTGGCTGCCAACCAGGCTCAAACCATGACAAACTTCATTCCACTTACCACTTCAACAGATCACTAAAACCAGTGTCAGCAATATTGAGACAAGAAAAAAAACAAACCAAAACAAAACGGGAGATAGGGTAAATCCTCTTCTCAACAATATATACTACATAATAGCAAAAAAAGAAATATAGTATTGAAGATACTGTTCAGGGAGACAGCAGATGTAACTGTTCACGTCAATATAAAAAAAATTGCAAAGGCAGTAACAAAGATCTTGGGATGGCAAACTCCTTAAATCTTTTAGAAATTTCAAATTATTGCCTGATCTGCTCCATAGAGCAAATATTTAAGAAAAATCATATTTTCTCTTGTTATTGACTACAGTTTCAAGATTCAGTGGGCATTTTCCTTTCTTTAAGCAAGAAAATAAAAATAATTCAAGTCTGGAACTCTCACTTTCAAGTCAGAATTTTATCCTTTAGATCTTGAATTAATGTGCAGACCAAAGCATAAGATTTTTAATGTCTTTTGGGTAGCCATTCCATAAGCAGCTAGAAGTTTCATCAATGTAAAGTTTAATTATGTTTAAAGCAGACTTCAATGAAACTTCAGGGACAGAAATATACCAAACACCACCACAAAATAAATTAGTAGTGAAAGACATAAAAGAAATTACAAAAATATGGCCTAACCACTCTTCAAACAAGTCTGAATATAAAGATACATATTTGTTGCATGTGGAAAGTTTTTTTTATAATGACATACCACACAATAAGTTCAATCAGATGCATTACTTAAGTAAACATCTCACTTTCTTTTGTAAACTGAAAGACTTCTTTACAAAAACAGACATACAGACCTGAAAATGTATTTTTAAAACTGCTGCAGAATTAAAATTATTGGAAAGTGACTTGTGATTTTTAAACAATGTTTTGTGAGCAGGAAAAGTGAATTAACCACTGGGAATCCCAAAAGATAATTACAATGATTTTATGAATCATGGGCATTTATTATGTCTAATATTTATAACGTGACAACAAAAATAGTGGTAGCAACTGGCTTTGTATTAAGTTAGCAAGAATGGGGAGGGGGGAAGAAAGAGAGAGAACAATAAACATCTGCTTCTAAACCATCACAACTAGATGAAAGCAAGAATTAAAAAAAAAGCATGGCCAGTTCTCACAGGACTGGAAATCACAGGATACCACAACTGTGGGAGAACTTATCTTCCCATAGATTCACTGGGCAAAAAAAATATACTGATCATGCATCAAAGTTGGCTTCTACTTAATACAGAATAATTTTACAGTCTAAAAAATGGGTCAGTGGGAAACCATATTGAATTAATTTCTTATCAGCAGAAAGAAACCAGTGGGTAGATTGAAATCAGAACAGGAGCCACTTGAATTTAGTACTGTACACAGAATGCAGATACAAGATAGATGTACATAATAAACCAGACTGGCATATCAGATTTCAAGAACTCAGATTCTATTGAACTAAGTAATTTAATGAGGAAGGTCAGATTGGAGCTATTACAATAAACCACATGTGGAACAAGGCTGTGGAATCCAAAAAGGCACCATAACTTATGCTCAGACGGTTCTTTTTAAAAAGAAGTTAGTTATCAACAGCAAGTGTCAAAAGTAACCTCACAAGAGGCTGCTCAAAGACTGCAACTATAAAAGCCCATCTCACTCCTCTCCCCAGCTCCCTTAAGCCTCTAGCATCCTGTAATGTAAATGAGAAAGGACAAATGACTACCAAAAAAGCAACTAAAATTTGCAGGTTGAATTTAATAAAGAAAGCAAAATTGAATGAAGTGTGAAAAGTTATATTTTTAATTTGGAAGAAGAATGTAATGTTATAGGGGGAAAGTCTATTAATAAAGCATGAAAAAAAAATAAAGTAATGATAATACACAGATTCTGCATGCTTTTAAATGATCAAGAAAAATTAATAAAGGAAGTCTGGGAAATCATCATTTATAAAATCATCATAGCAAAGCAACAGTTCTGTTCTAGTTGAGGTTTAAAACTCAATTTCCATTTAAATCCCAACTGTTTCAAGCGGCCAAAAGATATATATGTTAAATTAGATGGTCTGCACGTTCTCTGTATTGTGAGAAGGAAGGCTGAAGGGAGCCTTCCTCCCCAAGACTGCCCGTGTCCCACCTCTGGCGAGCTGATGGAGCTCTCTGTCACCAGCGTAATCACACTGAACCCAGCGAGCATAGCTGGAGCGCTGGCTCGTAACTCCACAGATTCCATGAGTTCTGCTAACCACGTGCAGCATTTCATTCCTGGTTTTCAGAAGTCTGTTTGGTAAATGAAACAGTTGTTCTGGAAAGCCACATCCTGGCCATGTCACAAAGAATTTTAAGACTCTGATAACAAAATTTTGGTTTTCATCAGACCACTGGATAATTCAGGCTGGAAGGCACCTCCGGAGGTCTCTAGCCCAAGCTCCTACTCAAAGCAGGATGGCCCATGAGGTCAGGTCTGGTCACTCAGCCCCTTACTCCCCTGGCACTTGAAAACCTTTGAGGACAGAGACTGCACAACCTCTCCAGACAAACTGTTCATTGCTTGATTGTCCTCATGGTGAAAGAGTTTTTCCTTGTATTGAGTTGGAACTTCCCTTGGTTCAGTTTTTGCCTGTTACCTCTTTTTTCTGTGGCCATGCACAACTGTTCTACTTTTCTTCTGTACTTTCATGCATGCCATACCTTCCTTTTATTCTGCTCAACCTTTTTTTTTTTTTTTTTTTTTTTCCCCCTTGCTATTGCATTACCTACCAAAATCTCTCTTTTGCTTTGGCATCCTCTTCCCCTACTTACTTTAAACTTAATACTTCACTGGAAAACTTTTCCCAATACATGTGTCTCATTTACTCTTAACTTCTTTCCACCCATACCTGACTAGGGAGTAACACTCCCCTTACTGCATCACTTTTAACATCCTCTCAGACCATATTTTTTGCATAAATTTAAAAATAGTTAAACCTTTACACTGATAAATGCTGTTAGGTTAAACATTACATTTCTCTATTAGAAAAGGAGTAGAAATTTTCTCTGTTAAAGATAAATTTGATACAGGATTTCAAAATTTGTTCCATTAAGTCTCCTTCTCTCTCCAGAAGAAAACTTAATTTTCACATTTTCTGTGCCCTTCCTTGATATCCTGAAAGCTTTAGATCACATTATTATTATTCAGTAATACCTGTTACAGTCTTTATCCTAGGACCTCACCCAAAATTATAAATTAAAATGTGTGCATGTTTATGGAACTACCTTAGATAATGTATTAAGTGTACTCTAATGAATGACTTAAAAGTTTACCCTGAAAAGCATGCCAAAAACAAGCAGCAATTAAAATAATACTTTGTTCAAATAAAAAACATAAGTATCATATCCAAGGGAATTAATACCATAAGAATAAAAATGCATCTGAATGGCAAATAGGTTTTAGCCTGCAGACATAAATTTTTAATCTTAATTGCACATATATGTGTATACATACTCTTGTTTTTGTAAACATATGTTCATACCACGCCATTCTTGGTTTGTCATTACAATTCCTACTATTTTGGAAGCACAAACAATTCATCAAGGTATTTTTGA